AACTACAATAAGACCAGGTATATACCATCATATCAAGTCTCGGTGAGGCAACCCAGTAGGAGGAATAGGAATAGGTCAGAGACAGCCCATGCCCAGAACCCACTATTAGTAATCCCACAAGACCACCATGTTTCTCAGTCATAACACATATTCAGAGGACCTAGATCAGACCTCCACAGGATCCCTGATCTCTGCAAGCCTCCACAAGTCCTGGTCAGTTAACTCTCTGGGCCTTGTTCTTGTGGTGCCCCTGACCCCTCTGGTTCCTCCCATCCTTCCTCCCCTCTTCTGCAGGGCTCCCAAAGTTCCACCTAATGTTTAGGACTCTGCATGTGCTCCCATCAGTTGCTGGATAATGTCTCTCTGGTCTCTTAATGTCAATTCTGTTAGGCTCTGGTCTCAGAACACTTTGCAGGCAGGACGAACTGTAGGTTGAAGGTTTTATGCCTGGTTTGGTGTCCCATTCCCTCAACTAGAGACTTTGTGTGGTTACAGAAGATGGCCAATTCAAGCTCTCTGTCCCCCATTACTAGGAGTTTTTTGCTGGGGTTACTTTCATAGTTCCATGGAGTTTCCATCACACTAGATTTCTACCTTATCCCTGAAATGCACCCTAATTCCAGTCGTCTCTTTTGGTATCCGACCCACTTATTCCTTTTGTTTCCAACCTCACCCACCCCCCCCAGTCAACCCATGAAATGATTCTATTTCTGCTTCCCAGGGAAATTTTTGCATTCTTTCCTTAAGCCCTCCTTATTACGTAGACTCTCTGGGTCTGTGAATTGTAGCATGATTATCCTTTACTTAACAGCTAATATCCACTTATAAATGAGTAAATATCATGTTTGTCTTTCTGGGTCTGGGTTACCTCACTTGGGGTGATTTTTTTCTATTTCCATCCATTTTCCTACAAATTTCAAGTTGTCATTGTTTTTAACAGCCGAGTAATACTTCATTGGGTAATGGGTGATTTATGTTGTTTCCAGTTTCTGACTATTATGAATAAAGATGCTATATGAGCATAGTTGAGCAAGTGTCCTTGTGGTAGGATGGAGCATCCTTTCTGTATATGCACAGGAGTGATATAGATGGGTCTTGAAGTAGATTGATTTCCAATTTTCTGAGGAAATAACACAATGATTTCCAGAGTGACTATACAAGTTGACACTCGCATCAGCAGAGGAAGAGTGTTTCCTTTGTTCCACATTAATGCCAGGATGAGCTGTCACTGTTGCTTTTTATCTTAGCCATTCTGACAGGTGTAAAATGAAATATCAAAGTGGCTTTGATCTGCATCTCCCTGATGACTAAGGATATCGAACATGGAACTGTTTCTCAGCCATTTGAGATTCCTCTGTTAAGAATTCCCTTTTTAGGTCTGTACCCCATTTTTAACTGAATTATTTGGTTTGGTGATGTGTAGTTTCTTGAGTTCTTTATATATTCTGTATATTAGCCCTCTTCTTGATGTGGAGTTGGTGAAAATCTTTTCCCATTCTGTGGGCTGCCATTTCACACTATTGATGGTGTCCTTTGCCTTACAGATGGTGTCCTTTTCAGTTTCAGGAGGTCCTATTTATTAACTGTTGATCTCAGTGCCTGTGCTACTAGTGTTATACTCAGGAAGTGGTCTCCTGTGTCAAGGCTATCCCCCACTTTCTCTTCTGTAAGGTTCATTGTACCTGGTTTTATGTTGAGGTCTTTGATCCACTTGGACTTGAGTTTTGTGCAGGGTGATAGATATGGATCTGCACACTGACATCCAGTTATACCAGCATCATTAGTGGAAGATGTTTCTCCCCCTATTGTATATATCTGGTTTCTTTATCAAAAAAAGCAGGTGTCAGTAGATGTGTGGGTTTATATCTGGACCTCCAATTTGATTCCATTGATCAATGTGTCTATTTATGCCAATACCATGTTTTATTATTCCAGCTCTGTAGTACAGCTTGAAATCAGGGATTGTGATAGCTCCAGAAGTTCTTTTATTGTATACAAGTAAGGTACTCTTATATAGTTTTTGTGTGAGAAATGCAAAACAATTCCAGGAAGCCATTAAAGATTCTTTCTGGCAAAGAGAAGGCTCTTATCTAATACTTAACACTCTCCTTCAGTGAGACTCAATCTTGGTTACAAATCAGAATCACTTGGGAGCTTCAAAAGTTCTGACATTCAGCTACATACACAACCAATCAATTCAGTTTTCTGAAGTCACACCACCAGCATCTTAAAAATATTTTTAGTGTGTAGTATGTATGTATTTATATATATCATGTGTAGGTGTGTGTGTGTGTGTGCATGTATGCATATGCATATGCACACACACACACACACACACACACACACACACACATACACTCATCTAGTAAAAACTCTGGGCATAATGGTGTTGCCTATGACTAGAGGACAAAGACAGGTGGATTCCTTTGGTTCCCTGGTCAACAAATCTAGCCAAAATGACAAGCTCTAAGTTATTTTTAGACTCTATCTCAAAAATAATAAAATAAGACTCAGAAAGGTGGGTTGTGAGACCGGAAGTTACAAGCTGAAAGTGGAGCTGTAAGGATGCGTTCTGAAGAACATGGTTAGGCCCACTGTGCTGAAAAACTAAAACTAACTACATACATAGATGATAAAATACAATAAAAAGAACATGGTAAAACAATCTCTGACCTCTAATCTCTAATGCCCACATTAGAAAGTACACTTCTACACAACTCTCCAAACTCTCCAAACACAAAGATGGCAACTTTCTACCCCCCACTCCACCAGACAGTTCTGATCTCCGTATCCTTTTTGGAGCTAACACTACATATTTTCTGATTCTGTTTGCTTACTTTCTTCTCCGTTTTTCTTGTAGACATACTAAGCCTATTGTGGAGTTGAATGAATACATTTCTTAATCTACTCTTATTTCAAATGGCATATACCTTTGGATAACTTAAAAAACAAAACAAAAAAAAAAAAAAAACCTTTAAAACTCTTACCCCTGAATCTTCTCTTCTATGGGTAAAAGCTCCTGTTTATTTTTCAATGAAACACAGTGAAGAATATGCCTCTTTTTGTGAAATATTACATGTCTGTCACTCAATCAGCAAGATAGCCAGCACTTACTATGCATTGCAAATGCCGGCACACCACATGCACTGTAGACTATACACTTGGCTGGCACTGGAAATTACATTGAAAATGTAACCAAAGACACTTTGTGAGGGTGATCTTCAAAATAATTTTAGAAGTTATTTCATGTAGTCAACGCAATGAAGAGAAACATTTGTTGGCTGCTGGACATTACCTAAGGGTTGAATTTAATCAGATTGGAATAACAAGAAGCAGCTGAAAACTGAAAACATATTTTAGAGAAAATGGGCATCAGCGCCGAACATATGGCACAGTGGGTAAGTGCACTGTCGCTCTTCCAGAGGGCCCAGGTTTGATCCCCAGCACCTACACAATAGCTCACAAATCATCTGTGACTTCAGTTGCAGGGGATCTGGTGCCCTCTTTTGACCTCTATGGGCACACAGGTGGTGCACATATATACATGCAGGCAAAGTTCTCATACACATAAACTATGTAAACTTTTTTTAATTATAAGGAAGGAGCATAAAATATAAAACCCTGGAGGAGGAAGATGATTCAGAGGGTCTTCAAGTCTTTGAAGATTTGAAGACAGAGCACATAGAAAACAACCCATTATCACCTTCTTTGTTAGGCACTATACTTCCATCAATATGGCTCAAGTTAAAGTTAATTTTTGGTGAGCAAATCACTGTGTTTTTATTGAATCAAATCTTCCCTCTCCAGTGTTTGAAGGCTGGAGTTTAAGTGTGGAAAGGTGATCCAGGTAAACAACCCTTTTTGTGTGAACTCTTAGCTATAAACATTTCAGTCCATGTAACGAAAGACTTCTTAGCAGAGTGGAGGGGCCTCCATAGCCTCTAACTGGCTAAGGGACATTTCTTTCTCTATTGGCATGCTTTTTTTTCTAAACTTACCCAAAGGAAGAAGTTGAGAATAAGGTTAAATTTAGAACCAAGCCAACTCTGGGTATTAGGAGTCAATGCCTGTCTTAAGTTTTCAGTCAAAGAAGCGCAGTATAGACAAGAGAGTATCGCTTTGTGTTCTGATGAGTAGTGTCCTTTTTCAAGCCAGACACTGAAGTGTCCCAACAACTTTTCTTCCTCCAGTTTTCCTTGCTGACATGGACAGAACGTGTCCAACAGTTTAAAAACCTTTTCAAACCTCTTAAAAAGAACTCTTTGTGACATTGAGAAGATAGTTGTTTCCAACAGTTTCTGATCAACTTGCAAATACTGTGCTTTCATCAAGAGGGAGCACTCACTTCAAGCTAATAAAATAAAAATTCCAAGCTTATACTGGCAAGAGAGAATTGGTAAAGTCTAATTGGGTGCTGAAATTGACAAGAACATGAAGTGTCAAAGTGACATAAGGTGACAGCGAAGCAAGGGCAGTCATAAAATGGAAGGTGTCCCTGAGCTTCTTGTCCCATAGGTTTCACATAAATTTGAGGTCATTAGTCAATGGTCACAAGAACACCTTTTGAGTATGGCTGCTTCTTCAAGGCAGCCCACTTATTAACCACAGCTTTTACTCAAGCTAGATTCGGACACAGAAGAGAGTAGCCCTTGTGTTCATGCAGACTGTGGTTCCAGTTAACTACCATTCATTGAATGACCATCTTCTCTTTCATCTGATAAATAAGAATGATGCTTTGAACACACTTCAACAAATAAAACAGCTGAGGTCCTTGTGTTATGGTGCCTGCACTGTAGATGGGGCAGGTATGCAAAACAGAAACTGACCAAGTACATACCTGAGTACCAGACAAGGTAAATCTCTGAAGGAAAACAAGACAAAACAAAACCATGCGGTCAAGGCTAATGATTCACCTTGCCAGACCTCTTTTCATATTCTCCAATCATCTGGGGAAGCCCAACAAGTGATGCCAGACCTTGGCAAGTTTAGGTGCATAATACATGCTACTACTCCTGGTTGATGATGAACTGAACTTCCTAAAGATTGAAGGGGATCAAGTTAATTCCTTTCCAGTGTCTTTGAGGCTCCCTCACATCTTTGTATTTTGTTTTCTCATATCCTCCAGTTCCAACGAGGGTTTTGGGTCTGTGGAAAAGATCGTGCTGCTAACATTCCTCTCAGTAGTCATCCTGATGGCCATCCTAGGCAACCTGTTGGTGATGGTGGCTGTGTGCAGGGACAGGCAGCTCAGGTAAGCAATACAAGGGAACCTCTTAGGAAACATGGGTGTCAGAGGGATTTCCCTGGAAAGTTGGCACTGAATAATTTCCATTTTAATTTATCGAATTCATGGGAAAAGGTTTTGAAAAATAGAAAATGGATAACACATAATCCTACAACCCCAACACTGACATAACCATAAGAGTATCCTGGGTTAATTCCTTCCTGTCTGTTATCTATACTGTGTTGCATTTGTTTAAATAGCAGTGGTCTCTCTCTTTTTCTCCCTCTCTCTCTCTCTCTCTCTGTTATAATATATATATATATATATATATATATATATATATATATATATATCCCTGCATCCCTGCTACCAGTGGTGAAGGGAAAGAGTCAGTAATTAATTATTAATCTGGGGAATAAACACTGGATTTACCACATTTTGTACCTCACCCATGTCAACTATGGCTACATTTACCTAAGATAATTTTCAAAAAACTACTGTATGATATTGGTCTGTCCTGTGCAATACTGTGGAAATGTTTATATTTAAAAAGTGATTCACCATTAAAAATCAAAGTATAATTGGCCACCCTGTATCTTATGTAGCAATCTTCAGGGGAGGAGGATATTATTCACCCAAGGCTTTTGTCTACTTGATCTGGTTGAACCCTGGGCACTTATGTTTGCTAAAATCCATCAGGTATTTTAGTGTGTGGCCTTGACTAAGTAACATCAGGCCATGAAGGAAAAGATGAGCTACAGATAGTTGCTCTCTAAGCAAGACATGCCCTGGACCAGTGAAGAGGCAGAGAAAGTGCAACACAGAGTTTTTTCCTGGGGTCACACACATAGGGTGTACACAGAGGTCTTCCTAGTAGCTGTAAGTGCTATAGTTTGGCACTGTCTGTGGGAGCAGCATCTTGAGAATGCTCTCTGGGCATGCCTAAGCCAGGATCAGAGCTGATGACTAGAAAGAGCCTCAGAACAGTTCTCAATACACTGGAGGCTCTGGGCAAGCCAGAAGGGCCAGAAAAGAGTGGAAAGGGATCTTTGGGCATGAAATGGGTCTGGAGAAGTCGGAGTTGGCTGGATCACAGAGAATCCTCTTGGCCATGGTGCAGAAGAGAAAATTGAATCTTGTGGATTATGTTTAATATGTGATTTTTCTTTCCTTTTCTACCTCCCTTCTTTCCTTCCTTCCATTTCCCCCGACTCTTCTCTTGCTCTTTCTTCCCACCTACTTCCCCACATCCTTCCCCTATCCACCTTGCTTATACCTTTTCACTCACAGGAAAATAAAAACCAATTATTTCATTGTGTCTCTTGCCTTTGCCGATCTGCTGGTTTCGGTGCTGGTGATGCCCTTTGGTGCCATTGAGCTGGTTCAAGACATCTGGATTTATGGGGAGATGTTTTGCTTGGTCCGGACCTCTCTGGATGTCCTCCTTACCACAGCATCAATTTTTCACCTATGCTGCATTTCACTGGATAGGTAAGAGCAGAGCAATGTGCAGAGTGGATTACAGTTGACACCAGTGACCTAGCAGATACCACCCAGTGTCTTTCTTTCTGCCCTAACCCATCTCACAAAATTAATTCCAGAGACAGAAGTGTAAGTTAGTGATTCTTGTACCAGGGCAGTCCTTGTGGAATAATTTTTCCCAGTCAGGCACTCTTAGTGATAATGAAGGTCCAGTGATTGCTTGTATAATGTGTAGATGGGTGTCCTCAGGCAAGTTTACTCCCAACTTTATATTGATGGAAGGAACAAAATGCTAAGAGAGTAAGGTGGCAAGAGTTAGTAAACATGCCAAGGAGGCTACAGGCCAGGTCAGAATGATATCTCTGTGTTTGAACATGACTGTCGCTTAAAATATGTCCATGCAAGAAGTAAAGTCAGGGAAAGTGCATGTGATCATGGGGATATTTTTTTCCCTAGAAGGTTAAAGTTGATGATAAATTCTCCAATCATTGCTGTTTTAAAAATTCAGCTTTTCATATCCCAATGTAAATTGTGGGAGTTTTGGTGTTTGTTTTGTTTTGTTATACCTTGGGATGGCTGATGGTTCCCTCCTTTGCCTCATTTGTTGGGAATTATCAGTTCTTTCCATTCTACAATTCCTGGTCACTTTCATGAAATGAAAGAATATACTTGGAAATTCAGATGACTATGAGAGCCTATATGGCTTAGGGGTTAGCACAGAAGAAAATATGGGGTGAAAGTTTCATGAGCTTAGACTGTGAGGGTAACATGTCACTTTCCCTGTCCACGGACCTATTTTCCCTGGCTTTGGAGAGATACAATTCTTAAACTGAGGATTTAGAAAAATAGCCAGCCAAAGTGAGATAATTATATCTATAGAAAATTGTATTCTTTAAACAGCAAAATAATGATTTCTTAGAAAATTACTCATCTGGTGCAGGTCCTTAAGAACTGAAATCTGCTGTGACAACAGAAGATTCACCCCCTTTCTTATGAGAGCACTGATTGGAATGGCAGATGTGACAGCAATAGCTTCCTCCTCTTTTTTTTTTGTTTGTTTTGTTTTTCAAGATAGTGTTTCTCTGTGCAACATCTCTGACTGTCCTGGACATTTTATAAACCAGGCTGGCCTTGAACTCACAGAGATCCTTGTGCCTCTGCCTCCTGAGTGCTGGGATCAAAGGCAAGCCTCCACTGTTTAAGTCACTCTTTCTTTGTTTTTATAACAAGAACACAAAATTGAATTGCTTAGATTCTATGAATGTATAATGAAACTCCAGTGCATAGATAGAGAGGTGCACAATTGAACTGTTGGCCAACAGTAAGACCCACCATGAGTCCCAATTAGAAATTTCTGTTTCTTAGCTTGTTTACAATTAGACATTAGGCATTTTAAAGACATTTTATACTATATGAAATTTCATATTACAGAAAAGAAAATATGAGAAAGGAGAAAATACAGGGAAATCTTCAAGGTTAGCCTATATATATCATCATTGCTACAATGATCTGTGATAGAAAAAGTAAGGCTGGGGATAAAGGGAAGCTGTAAGGCAGTGAGATTTTGGCAAAAGGCAGGGGAAGGAAAAGAGCCACTCAGGAAGTAAAAATGGGAGAAAATTCATCTTTCTGCTATAAAGAGCAGACAGCTCCAAGACAAGGGTTGAAGGTCTCCCTTGGGGATGGGGTAGTTGCAGATTTCCACATTTAAGCTCATGCTCCCTCATGAACATTTCTTCAAGTGGGCTCACATTGTAGCCCACTAATTAAGAATTGGACATTAAAAGCCACCTGTTTTCAAATTTGAGTGATTTAACTTTAAATTTCAGCTGTCAGTTTTTGCCTCTGAGATTGGCAGTGAGTTAATAAGCCTCTCTGAGTCTCAGTTTCCTTTGTCTCAGAAAAAAAAAAAAATGGAGGATCAAGAATTGATCTTGCAGGACTGCAGTTAGGAAGAAATGAACTAAGCTGCCTGAGGGGAAACATTATCCACTGTGACTCAGTACTGCTGTGAGTGGAAGGTGCTACTCAAGCTAGTCATCATCTGCCTTACCAAGTTTGGCTTCTCTAAGTGTCCTCCTCATAATGATTTATCCATCTATTTTCACTGAAAAGATCAAACAAATGCCAGCCTTCAAAACCACAACTCTGAGCTTTGTTGCTTGTCTGGGGCTTTTCAACAGCTGCATGCTTTGAGATACGACCTCGCTGCTTGATATAGAGAATTTTTAATTTTAATTCAATTTAATTTATTTAGAATTTCATACTAAAGTATTGTATTTATGGTGTTGCTATCCCACCATCTCCCTACTTCAAAACCCCCCATGCCCTGCTTCCACACTCCCCCGCAGCATATCCTGCTGAGTCCATTCGTGTCACTCATATGTGTATGTGTTTAAGGATGAAGAATTGGCATTGGATAACCTACCAGGCTGTTCATCCCTAGAGAAGTCAGATTCATCTTCTCTCAGCAATCATTGGCTAATTCTATCTCTTCTTCTGGGGGTGGAGCCTTGAGATTTCTGCATTTGTGTTGGCCTGCCAGTTGGCGATATCATTATGCAGAGCTTCTTCAATCAACTATATCATTGAGATTTCATGGGTATAGTAGCTTCCTTGCCATAATTAGAGAACTCTATCATGCAGCAGAGGTTCTGGTCTTCTGACTCTTACAATATCTCCACTCCCTCTTCTGCAATGTGTGGTGGTTACATTTTACATATGTCCATTGGGGTTGGATTCTCATGGTCTGTTAGCTCTCTACATCTTAATTGGTTGTTAATTTCTTAATTGTCCCCACCTGCTACAAAACTAAACTTCTCAGATGGAAGGTGAAAGCTCTATTTATCTGTGGATAGGTATATATAATGCAGTTAGATATTTTACAGGGTTTAGGAAAGCAGCAGTAGTAGGTTCTCCTTTAGAGTCCAGGACTTGACCAGCCAAGGGTAGTAGGTTTACAATACCAGCATGGATTCTGTTCTGTCATATTAAATAGGCTGTATCCAATTAGATGGCTGTTGTTCACCCCTGAGATGTGTCATTCTTGGATGGTTGGCCTTTGTGGTGGCATGTAGGCTTTACATTTGGGTAGGGACATTGATGGCAGATGCATTGCATCTTCTGATAATATAAAAGTCCATCCTCAGGGAGGAAGTTTCTGTATCATAGTCAGTTAGATTCCTGTGTTTCAATTGTGCAGTGTTTTCAGCAACAAGCTTTTACCTTCAAGTTCTGGGAAGAAACCAAGGGCAATAGCAATAACCTGTATTGGTTTTCGTAGTCTCCTGACTATCCACACAGATAGCTTGAAGGGAAGTTTCCCATGCCTGGCATTTGTGTTTGTTAGATTGTGTATAGCTTTTGGGGAGAACACTATTCCTGCGAATGGTATAACTCCATTTAAATGATATCTGTGTTACATGTATTTACATGTGAATTTGAAGTAAACATACAGTAATGCCTCCCTATAGCTTTTCAAATATTTGTATGTTATTTATCTCTCCCCTCTCCATAATTAAAAATTTTCCCTAGTATTTCTCCCTACCAACCCACTGTATAAAACATTTTCATTAAATCTTCAAGAATTTCATACCATGTATCTTGATCTTATTTACTCCAGTTTTTCCTCCAGGCTCCTCCTAAATCTACCCCTACCTCTCAAATTTATGGTCCCTTATAGAATAGGCTATCACCTGCAATTTGTGCTGCTCATATACCCTTAAGTATGGGGCTAAGCATTGGAGCACAATCGACCTACCAGGAGCCATGCCCTGGAGGAAAACAGACTCCTCTTCCCGAGAAGGCATCAGCTGTCCATAGCTCTTCAGTAAGTGTGGAGGCTCATCTTCCCACTCTGTGCTAGAATGTCAACTGGCTTGATGTTGTGCAGACCCTATGCAGACAAAAAAAGATGCTGTGAGTTACTACGGATGCAGTGGTCCTGTCATGTCCCAAAGATTCCATTTTTCTCCAGTCTTCCTTGATCTCTGCTTCTTACGATCTCTCTGCCACCTCTATGCTATGGTGCCTGAGCCTTTGCATCTCTGTGTGTGTGGGGGGGAATCTAGATGATTCATTTGTTGCTGAGCACTCCACTGACACACATTCTCTGCACTTTGACCAATTATGAGTTTGTGTGTTAATCACCATCCACTGCACAAAGAAACTTTTCTGATGAGGTGTGAGAGTGACAATAATTGATGTGTATAGACAATGTTCACTGTCTGTTTCTGGCATCTGTCCTGAAATTCCCTTCAGACCCTTCCCCAGACCTGTCTCTCAGCTCTGACTACCTGACCTTTCTTTTCTTCTGTTGCTTTCCAGGCATTGGCTCCTCTCTTTGCCTGGAAATCTCCTTTGCCTTCTGTGTGACTTTCGGATTTTAGCTCAGTCATATTCCCCTGCAGCAGAAGTCCTTTCTGATCTCCTTGGACGCAATTTTTATAGAACTTGTTGCATTTTTTATTAAATACAGTTCTGTAATTTCTCCTACAAAGTCTTTCTTTTCCACACTTGTGGGAGGAAGCTCTGCATTATGCACATGGATGAGAGGATGTTTGTGGAATCTGTGGAATTTTCATTTAATGACAACTTTGACAATTAAACAGTAGGTGCACATAAATATTTATTTAGGTATTTGGTAAATTTGCATTTCATTCCCCCTAGTGGACATCAGAAACTTGAACTCCACAAGGAAGACAGGACTAGACAGTTTTTGTCTTGTTTTGCTTTTCTTTATCTCCAGCATGATTTTATCCCAGGTGATACCTCCTTGAGCCAGAGGGTCCATCCTGAACACTACAGACAATGCCTTGCCTTGAACAGCCAAGTTTTATTTTCATATAGTTTCCACTTTTGCAGTGACCCTCCAGGTCTCACATTTGAGCTGGGTCAAGCCAGAGAAGAAATGTCTTGAGGAGTGGGTATGTTGTCCATATCATCCAGGTGAGTCCTGGCAAGACAAACATCCCTCCCCATGAGGCTGCTGTGAGTGTTCTAGGAAGGGG